GTGTGTGTGTGTGTGTGGGTGCGCGTGTGCGCGCGGGCGCGGGCGCGTGCGCGTGCGTGTGCGTGGGTGCGCGTGCGTGGGTGCGCGCGCGCGCGTGCGTACGTGCGTGGGGGTGTGTGCGTGCGTGCGTGCGCGCGCGCGTGCCTGCGTGCGTGCGTGCGTGCGTGCGTGCGTGCGTGCGTGCGTGCGCGAATGCGTGTGCGTGCGCGTGCGCGTGTGCGTGTGCGTGCGCGTGTGTGGGTGTGTGTGTGTGTGTGCGTATGTGGGTGCGTGTGTGCGCGTGCGTGCGCGCGCGTGGATGTGTGTGTATGTGGGTGGGTGCGTGTGTGTGTGTGGGTGTGCGTGTGTGTGTGTGTGTGTATTGCCGCGTGCGTGAGTGCGTGCGGGTGGTGAAGGGGACATGGGGGAAGTGTGGATGGAAATGAGTAGAAAATGGATGGAAAATGTGGGGAAAATGGATGGAAAACTGATGGAACATGTATGGAAAATGGATGTGTGTATGCGTGCAAGTAAGGACATGTATGTATCTTAATTTTGTTGTTGTCGCTTGCTGCCTGCCTAGCCGTCCTTGCAAGAGCCATGAAATTGAGCGTCGCGATGCTGCCGCAGCCGGTTCTGCGCCAGCAACATAAAAAACATATGTATGTGCGTAGGTAGGTATGCATGTATGTATGTACGTGTGTATGTGTGTATGTGTGTGTGTATGTGTGTATGTGTGTATGTGTGTATGTGTGTATGTGTGTATGTGCATGCATGTATGTATGTATGTATGTATGTATGTATGTATGTATGTATGTATGTATGTATGTATGTATGTATGCATGTATGTATGTATGTATGTATGTACGCACGTGCGTGCGTATGTATGTATGTAGGTATGTATGTATGTAGTTTTTTTTTGTTCAGACGCCCCACCTCCAAAACCATTCCAAAAGACACACTTTCAATGGGGGAACTCAGAAACTGAAGCGGCTTTGTATGCAAACAACAGCGCCCAAACGACTGTCACAGTGAGCACTGTCGTGAAAGCAGGCGACAACCAAACAACCTGGTTCTCCCATGTTAAGCTCAGCTGGTAAGCTGGTGAGTTCCTCAAGTGGCCCGTTGGGTGTATCTGTTATACTTCTCAGCACATATTCTAAGCAAACGGCTACAACTACCGACTACCTCAGCTTCCAGGCTGCCATGGCGGGGGTCCCGGTTTGGACAATTGTCCTTTCAAAAAACATGTATCACAAGGGCTAAACAACTACATCTAATTTATCGCCCAACATTTCTGATGTATGCCGGTCCCCAAGTGCCCCACAACCCCATTCCCATGTGTGTGTGCTTTCTTTTCTGGCCCTAGTTGCTGGACCGCACAATTTGGGTAGCTTCTCAGGGTGCTGAAAAAATCCGCGCATTTCGCCCGCCTGCGCAGCGCCCTACACATTGGCAGCGCACAGCTCATGGCCAGAGGCGCTCTCGAGAGGGCGCGGCCCGCGCCGCCCGCGCGCGCGGCCCGGGAGTGGGCGCTGCGCACGAGCCATGGAGGATAGCTGGGTCTGGCGGCGGTGAAAAGCCCAGCGCCGGTGGTTGGTGATGGCACCCCCGGAGGAGCTGGTCCCTCAGTGGTGTTGAGGGATTTCGCCTTCTCCTATGCTGTGGGTTTCCAGGAATCTCAAAAACCGTGCGAGGGAACTCTCCTATGCTGGTCTTTGACCTTTATGCAAAAGAAAGAACTGGTTGCTGAACAGGGAACAAAGATTTGTCAGGGGAACAGGTTAAACCACAAAGCAACCACGAAAAATGGTGGGTGGAGGCGGGCCATTCGTGTGTCCAAAGGTTACAATGGGCCATAGGCTATAGGCGTGTGGCTGAAGCCCCTCATTCTAAGAGGAAGGTCCCCCAATTGAAAGAAAAACAACGAGGAAAGCACGTTGGCCCCCAACATCAACTAGGCGCAACAGGTTGTTTCAAGCCTTTAGAACCACCAAGTACGTAGCTCTACCCAAGGCCAAGCAGTTTTCAACCGAAATCATTCATTTAATAAGTGTGACATACATGTGCAGGGAAAAATGTTGAAGCTGCACAGACTGGCATCTACAAGCAGTTAGGACCTACTGCAGGGTCACATCTAGGAACACTTGGCTAATAGTTGATGCACAATTCTCCCAAATGACTACGTGCTCTGATGTCTTCGGGCATGTTTTTGACGGGGAAACCGAACCCAGCATGCAACTAGCCGCTATGAGGGGCCCAAGTTCGGCCAAAGTGCTGGGATGGTTGGCCTAGACGTTAGGGCTTGGGGGAAGTGGGGAACTTGCAGCAAGAAATTGCTTTGCTTGTGGGCACTTGCGGTCATATGTCACGCTTCGGGGTTGCTTTGTTTTTGACATCCTCAAAAGGAGTCAGCAAAAGGATTGTCTGTTCTGAACGCCCCGAAAGTGCTTTGCAGTTCAAGTCCGTGAGCGATGTTACAAGGTGAGGAAGGGCTTTGCAATACTTGGGGCACTGTAAGTGAAAGGTCTCTTCCATCCTCCTAAGGCTCGTGTGTGCAATCGGGTGCGTCTTGTTCAGTGTTCTCTTTAAGAGCTATCCAAACAAGGCTCCAACTCATGTTGACACATCCAAGACAAGTTCATATTATTTGTGTACTCCCACATTGGAATACGAAAAACGGGTGGGTCATGGACTCTTAGGGAACCTCTGGCTTTCATTCCCCCACAAGGGTGGGCAACCACATAGAACCGGCCAGCCTCAGCCTGGACGGCGCCTGTCAAGAATTCTCGCATTCGCCTTTGGGTTAGCCCCAAAGGCAGGAAATGCGGGTGACTCTCCGAGGAAACTAATGCCACAATAGTTTGTTACTGTTTATATGCTTGTTTCCTTCTTCCGTTTAAAACCACTCCAAAGGTCTTTGGGGTCCACCATTTTGAGGAACCCATTGTTGAAAAGGCGGCTTATCTGCTGGCCTCTGACTGCGGTGACCCAGTTCACCTCGCAAGCGGTGACCCAGTTCTTCCCCTTAGCTCACAAGGGGCAGACTATCCCGGAGTTCCAATGTCATATTTCGAGGACAAAGAAATGGAACCATGGAATTCTAAGTGTCACCCCCTTTCCTTTATCCCACGATTGAGGGGCTGGGTGGTGAGTGTGACAAGTGTGGATGCTACATTTCACCCAAACGCGCGGCTTGGAAACTCGTTTGCCCTTCTGCTAGATGGAAAGAGCAATGATCAGTGATTGGCTCAGCGGAAGTGCCCCCTTGGCCCTTCATGGCCGAAAAATCCAATCACCAATCGCCACGGGGAATAGGTACGATTGCTGGTGCGACAGGTCATGACCACTGGTGCGGCTTTTGCCGAATTTGCCGAATTTGGAGTGTGAGCCATCGAAGGGGAAACCCCTACCTACCTACGTCCTTCCGGGAAAGAGGATCCTTGAAACCAGGGAAAGAGGAGCACACCCTCCAAGTGGCAGGTTGGGACACATCCAAAATGAGGCCAACTTACCACAAAACAGGAGCAAACAAGCAGAAGAATGGTTTTGGCTAAATTGCCCTTCAAGGGGTGATCACAATCTGTTTGCCACAACAAGAATACAGTCGGAAGACGCTGGTGCGTGGAAACCTCCTGTTTGCTCAACTTTGTTGTTTGCTTTGTGGCTTTAAATCAATGTAGATAACCAATCTGCGAATTTTACAATATGTCCAAAACCTGAAATGCGGGACCCCCTAAGTAAAGGATCTTTGTCATGGTGAGCTCGTGTTACCCTCAGGTGAGCTCGCCATAAAATATCCAGACAAGTGTCTGTTCATGTCTCGTCTCACAAAAACCCAATCTGAATCAACTCCAGCGATAGCTTCGACCTGAAAGGGGGTCCGCCTGCAGCACCAGGCCCGCTGCCGGGTTCATGCCATGAGCGGCAGGCGGAGGAACGATGAAAACGAAAGCGGAGTCGTCCCGCAGTTTGAGGTTTTGTTGGTGGGGTGCATCTTTGAGGGCCCCTTTTTTTGGGTTTAAACAGAAACCCGAAACACCACCATTTACGTCGGCTTGAAGAAAATGCCCACGGACTAATTTGCCCTCAAGAAATTCACGTGTGGTCAAAGCTAGTGGTCAAACCTGAAACTGGCTGGCGCAACGGCGATATTCGAGGGCGTTGCCCTCTTTCAATTTGTTTGTTGCGCGCCCACATGTCAGGTGGCCAAAGCGGAAAGAAATCGATTGACCCATATCATCGCTGTGACCCCCTTCGCCTAATGAGCGGCTCGAGCCCACGCTCGCTCTGGCTCCTGGGGAGGCAGTGACCAACTGTTAAATGACCTGGTCAAAAAGTCTCAAGAAGAGGCACGCACAGGCAAGAAGCAAAACCCTAGATTCACTGTAGTCAGAAGCCATGGTGGCAAAAACCATGGATCCCAGTTACCACAACAGTAGACAATCAGCAATTATCCTTGCGACTTTTGAAGGGTGGTTCCCTCCTATATCTACTCTACAGTGAAATGGAATCGCTAGGAAGGCTAAAGCTTGTTCTTTTCCAAGAGCATAGGGCGTGGAGTAAGGAATAAACATGTGAACTGACCACCAAACAACGAAAATGGCATGTGGGACAACATGAAGTGTCCCTCGAGCATTTCAGAATCCCAATGTGAGGAACACATCACACAAGCCTGGAATGCAGTTCCTGACGGATTTGGCAGAATTCTTAAAGTCTTCAAAGCGCAAATTATTTCCAATCAGGACGTTGGTTCTAGAAACCTGGGAGTTCAGTGCCACAAGCAGTTCTTGTATTGGCTCTCGCTGCAGGCACCCTTTTGCCGCGATCGCAGTGTCATCGCAGATCGAAGCCCTGGTGCAATGTCCCAATTGCCACCAGTCAACAGGGTTCCCTTCTTCTCCCCTACCATGGCCAAAAACTCGCGAATCCAATTGTGAGGTTCATCGGGTGCTAATTCAATAGGTCATCCCCTTTTCAATTGAATAAATTTGTCAGTCCTGAGGGAAATGGTTCAAATTGCTGGCCTCACGCTCACCCCGGCCATTTCAGTTCGGGAGCCCTGTTCAAGCACCACTTCGCAACGGCAGCTCCCGGCCCACATTTCAAAGGAGGTCAAGTGACTCCTGGCCCGGCTTTGTCAAACCCAGCTGGCCATGGGTCCAAAACCAAATCGTACCCCCAGTGAACATCAACCTATCCAACCACTAAAATAGGTTCTAAAATGGGTGAATTCACCTGCCCCAAAATGGGATCCCATTGGTTTTGACCCACAGCCAGATGGGTATGACTGATACGGCTCCCCCCAAAAAAGGGGTGCCCCCGGGAAAAAGACACACCCATCGACTGGGAATTGTACCCTAAGAAGCAATCACCACAATGACTCCTGCGAGGCGAGGTGCGCAATGGTTCCGATACTCAGGACTTTATGCAAACCGACCATTTCGAGGGTGCTTCCCAGCATTCCACGCATCCACGGAAAAGCTTCCAAGCAAATGATGTGCAATGAGCCATTTTTCTACCCACCCCTTTCAATGGAGCCAGAATCTTGAGCATGACCCTGTCCACTTCTCCATGATGGCCGGAAAAGGTGCAAGAAAAACCAGAACATGGAGACTCATATATTATATACAAACTCAAGCAAACGCTCACACCATCGAACGAATCCCTTCTGAAGCCTTCTTGCTCAGCTCAAAATGCGCAAACCTGACACCGAGTCGATCAAGATCTCATGATCATATCACCTTGTCAAGGGGCACGTGATTCGATCTGTTGGGTCTTTCCCTTGGACAGCGACACATGCAAGGAATCGGACCATCAGCCAGTGGCCCTTTTAGCAGCCCATTGTCTCCCATTCTCTATCCCGTCTCCTCAAGGTCCAGGGGATCTGGCGCGGCTTGAGAACGCTGTTCAACTGGAGAGGCGTAGCTTGCAAACAATACGAAGTGCTTGATATGCCCTTTACGTACCCAATATGCTGGGACCCTGGTTATGCCCTTGATGTACCACTTCTACAATACACTTACTTGTATCCAATATTGATTTCGAGGTATTCTATGATAATATTGAACAACCCCTACTCGAATCCTCCAATTCACCCGAGGTCAACTGCTCCTGATCCCGTGGTAGGACTGCTTCTGACCGGCAGTGAAGTTCTGGTCAGCTTCAACTGTGAGGTCCAGATTCCCCCGTGGTAACAACTCGCTGCATGCAATTCCTGGAGTGCTCGAAGGCAAACCACATCTCGGCATCGAGATGCCCTCTGACGCATTGCCCTAAGCCTAGTGTCTATTGGAGCCTGGCTTGGTCAACCAATATCTCTCCCATCGCTGTCAACCAACTTACAGCTGACTCCCGGCTCCCGCGCCTCGCCGTCGGCTTCTTGCCTTCAACCCGGGATGAACTTGGGATGCGATCGATCTGAGTCTCTGGGAATCATAGAGTCCACGAGAGATCCTACAAAAGAAAGTGCCCATGCGCAGCCTGCAGGCTTACCCTCTTGAGAGGTTGCTCATGTTTGGGAACTGATAGGGCCAAAGTGGGGGACATGGGTGCCACAGAAGACTAGGACAAGACTCTGTCGGCGACCGCATGCGACCCGGCCTCAGCAGTGCGTCCCGATGGCTTTGCCTGACGTCAAATTTAATTCAGCGCCACCCAGAAATCGCCTCAAACGTTCGTGGACATCAATCAGAATGGGAGTGGGTCAAAAAAAGCTACTCAAAATGGGTTGCCTTGGTAAATGGAAAAATGGACTAAAACCTGCGGTCCAATTCCTGGTGCTTTAGTTTTGACCCATACCAAGATGTAAAAGTTGGTGGCATTACTCCATGCGGCCGCTTTTGCTGGAAGCAGTTCCTTCGTGTGTCCACACATCCAGTTGTGTTGTGGGTGAGGCGTTGGCTTATCTCTTGACAAGCTCAACACAGCTCCCTCCATCGATGTTGCTTACTTCTCTTCCTGCGGACTTCTGAACCCGTCTTTCTCGGCTGAGCGAGACTCAATACCAAGCCCAAACCCAGGGACACATAACATGCTTGTGGCTCCGAACTTGAGGACCAACGGACATCCGGCACGGTCCAATTAGGCTGATGGTCATTTGGGGCCAAACAGTCGCCGAAGGACAAGGAACCAAAACCTTCATGGGTCAAACGGTCCATTGCCACCCACTGATATGTCTCTACCAAGGCTAGCGGCCACAAAATCAAGAAAAGCGCATCTCCTTGTACGAGTGCTGCAACTGTCTTCCCACATGTGGCTGTGTGTGTGTGGCATCTACTTTGAGGCTGCACCTTCTTGTTAAGCTTGTGGGTTTCCCCAGAAGAATGTAATCAAGCTTGGGTTCTGTAGCCTATGTAATCAAGCCACTCCCAGCGCGAGCCTTCATGTCCTTCTCGAAGCGAGCAAGGCGCTGGTCTCTCTTGCCGTAGCGCTGGCAAAGCGGTCGTCAGCAAAGCGCAGCCCAATGAGTCAGAATGGATGTGGCTCCTCAAAATGGCCCTGGGGGAACCGAAAGAAAACCCAGGTTTGGGGTACCCCCTAATTTGAGAAACACCCAGAATATGGTCTCATATGGGGCTCTCTGCAATTATGAGCCGCAGGTGATTGGATTGCTTTCTTTGAGCCTGTTCAAAATGAACACATGCCCAAATGGACCTATGGCTATTTTCGGGGCCACTTGCTGGCTCTTTTTCCCATTCAATGCAACATTCAATTTGGGAGGCCTTAGGGGGCATCATTTATGTGGTCAATGCTGTCCCTACCTGGGGTGCCTCTGCGGTGCAACAAACATGTTCGGATTCTTGTCCATATTTGCCTTGAATACAAATGACAAAAACCAAATTGTTGGTGGGCAGAAATCCCCGGGAAAAAAACAAGTCCAGCAAAGGGGTCCCAGTTAAAAATAATACCCATTTTAGAGTACCAGGAAGACTCCGGTAAGTCCGTTGGAGTCCATCTAAGTCAATGACTTGCCGGTGCTCAGTAAGGAATGTGGGAATAAACCCAGGGGTCCCCTTGAAGGAAACCACCAGTTGGATGGTTTATACGGGTCATTCCATTTCTCATTCCCTGCATCTCTCGCACACAAGATGATACCCATTGTTGTCTACCATGTCTACCCCGGCAAGTCCATTCAAATCCACCTACCCTCCCACCAGCTAACATGGAACCTCACAGGTCGATGATACCCATTCTAGTCTTGGTTGACGTTGGAAGGGGAGCAAACAATTAAATTTTAGCAGTTAAGTCACGAAGCAAAATGTAACATGTTTCCCAACAACAACCATCTAGTCTGCCCACGCTCCACGAATTCTGGAGACCCGCGTCCGCCGCTTCTTTTTGGTGGCTCCTGCCTCTTCCTTCACTGCCCGGGCAGAAGCCTCTCGGACCTGCGCCTGCGAGAGCCGGACACATATCCCACCTGGGGGAAGACGCGTGGAATAACCCCGGGGTACACCAAAACAAATATGTCTGTGGGTCAAAAATAGGTACCCAAAATTTGGGAACCCTGGTAGATCGAAACATGAGCTAAAACCTGGCTTAATTTTGACCCACACCATTTGCTTCTTAATGTTTCTGCTTCATAATTTCATATTGAGTCAACCCCAACAAATAAAATATCAAGAAACAAGTCAGCATCCGAAACCTCCAAGATTCAAATCTTTGGAGCTTTGGAGGAAAGATACCAACATGAAATCAGCCATTTGCAGGGGGGAAGCATTCTGGCAATCTCCTGCAGACTTGCCTTTCAAGGGCTATCTCTGCCCTGACAATTCCCTCAAGCTTGATTGAGAGGGAGCCTTTGGGCGGCCCAGGGCTGTCGGGCAAAAAGGATTTTTCATAGGCGAGGTCGTAATGCGCTCCGGATCTGATGTTGGATTTTGTCAAAGCGGACCCCTTGTGCCTTTTTGGTTTCCGAATTGCGTTCCCCTGTCAAGCCATCCAAGAGCCCCCAATGAGATGTCAAAATGCTTCCCGGATCCCTTTGCAACCTTAGTCAAAGAAAACTTGACAAATCTAATTGTTGAGTATAGTCCAATTGATGGAAATCAACCAAATCAACCTTCCACTGCAATTTGGGCAGGTGTTTGTTTGTAAAAAAAGGGGGCGTTTTGGACATGGCAAGAAGCGTGTCCAGACCCTTTTTTGTTCCGCCTGCCGGCGCTTCTGGTCGGAGGCACGCCGCTTGGCACGGGCCACGGCCTCGTGGCGGACTTTGGGCGGGGGTGGGAGGGGGGGCAGAGGGGGGGGTGGAGGGGGTCGGGAGGAGGGGGGAGGGAGGAGGGGGGGGGGGGATGAGGGAGGAGGGAGGGGGTGCGGAGGGGGGGGTGGGGGGTGCAGGGGGGTGCAAGGGGGGGTGCGGGGGGGTCAAGGTCAAAAAGATCGCTGAAAAACTCGCAGGGCGTCCCACTCCAAAAGAATATGGGGCTTAAGTCCATTTAGGGCGACCCCATATTCATCAACCCCGGACATATCAACTCTTTTTTGCGGTTTCCCCAATGGTCATCCTATTGTGAAGGCCCCATCACCCACATGGCAGTGGGTCAAAAATATGTAATTACCCAAAAATGGGTTGCCCTGGTAAATGGAAACAAAGACTAAAACCTGGGGTCCAATTCCTGGTGGCTTAACTTTGACCCATACCGCCATTTTGGGGCTCCAATTCTGAGACATACCCATGGAGGGTTGGCAAATCCAATTTTCCAGAATCCCTATAGGGAAGCCACTACAAAGGGGACTGGTGCCTTGCGCATCCCAAGATAAGGATTTGGCCAATTTCCAGCGGGCTACTTTGAGGATGCAATCTCTTGGGCAATGGCGGAGACGATCGAGTCGCTAGTTGAATCTGTTGGAGCATGCAGCCCAGGCACTGGTCTCCGGAGCTGGCAGCGAGGTGTCAAAACCAGAATTATCTAGTCCTGAAATTATGGCTCTCCTGTTAGCTTCCCTAACCAGCATGAAAAGAGGTACCGACGCACCCACTAGTGTCATGAGTAAACCACGACCAGGGGCAAAAAGCAAAGGACAAATCACAAAGCAACCTGACTCATTGATGGTAGGTATTGGTGCAAGGTTGAGCTTCCATGGTCTGAACCAATCGAAGGCCTCTGGGGCGCCTTGCAAAGATCATCTCCCCTCAAACTCTTTTGTTTCGGCTGAAACAGGAGAACTAATCCAAAGGAGTCGTCAAAGGACAACTCACAGCTTGCCCGCCCTTCAAATATTCTGTCACGGGCATCCAAACCCCCTTGCCCAGTGACCCTGCGACCCTGCTAGGAAAAGGGAACCTTACTTGGGGTTGGGAACCCCCTCAAACGAAAAGGGGAAAAGGGTGGCACTGAACAACTTGCTGATCAGAATAAGGTAGTTCGCGAGGATCATCGACGAAGAGGTATATAAAGAGAGAGGGATAAAGCGGTGAGACAAGATATCACAGGTTAAAAGCAAGTCAGACAAGGGATAAAGTCGTCTGGAGTCGTTACCCTCCTTCCCAACCATTCAAACCGTGAGTCTCAGCAAAGACGTGTTCGGGCTCACAATCCTGGAAACTGATGGCATCCGAAGGAACGAGGAAGAGACCAGCGCATGAGAAGAGATCTCAAACATTGGCCTCCACCCATCCTAAGCCGCACCTATAACTCCAGAAAATCGATGATGAGGCATAGGGATGGGAAAAAGAGGACAAGGGCATTAACGCCAGCCTGGAGAAAAAGGGTTTTTTGACCGCCAGCTCCCTTGCTTCGTGTCGTAAGCTCGAACCCGCGAAGACGCAGTGGGGCCCTTTTTCTCTTGATCAACAAAAGGCTTCATGTGCACAAAGTGAAAAGAGCGACGTGCTCCCCTCACAGGCTCGCCTGGGATTTTGTCGCTCCCAGGGGCCATCTCCAAAATGGAAAATCCTCGGCCACAGCCCAAGCCTTTGTTCACTCATCTCATCGACGGATCCGAGGTGATGCCGTTCATGCAAAAGCGGCAAGGGCGTAGTGGAAGCCCTCGGATCGTGGTCGAGTGCTCGTCCATGGGGATGCAGTTGTTCGCCGAGTGGAGATAGCCATCAGAGCCCCTCCACGCGGTCCCATTCCTTCCCCTTTGCTGATGCGCTCCCAGCCAGCAGTTCGGGCAAGGGAGCATGGCCCGGATGCCTCGCGCAACCGCACCTCGCAATCCCAGCAATCCCGAGTCCAGTGATAGCGTTCCCCGAAGGACGTGACGTGGTAGAGCTCCACCATAGCCCCCCGCCGTACCTCCGGTTCCGGTTCACCACCTCGTTCAACTTCTTCACGCAGCTGCCTCAGCTCCCGCTGCAGTGGGTGTTGACCTCGCCTGCGAAGGCCATCAGTAGATGATGACGCCGATTCCGTGGCCGTGCTAGGCGAGCGACGCTCAAACGTCATCACCTCCTCCTCAGCTCCAGAGCTTTCTCGCACGCTCAACTCGCGCTGTTGCTGTTCCAGCCGGCGCTCCAAACGCTCCTCCTCTTCTCTCTCCTCCTGCAACCTCCTGACTCGCTCAAGCCGGAAGGTCCGGTTGACCTCTTCCCGAAGCCTCCGTCTCATGTCCTCCTCCGTCTCCACGGCCTCGGTCTGCACTTCTCGCACTTCCGGGCCTGCAGGTTCCGGCAGCCGATTCCTCTGCTCCAAGATCGCCCGCACTGTCGATTCCACGACCCTGTAGCACATGATGGCAATGAAGGACACCACCACCACGAAGATCACGAGCTCATAGCCGCCTTCACCTTCTCGACGTCCTTCCTGGGCTTCTGTCTGCACCACCTGCGTGCAGAGGATGAAGCCCCCAAGGCCCATTCCTCCACTCGTAGTAGGCGTAGTCTCATAGAGTTCCGCCTCAATCTCACCGACGAGGTCTGCATGGGCGTTACACCCTGATCCCACTCCTCCAGTCCACCTTCATCACTTTCCGAGAGGGTCCACGAAGCCACCATAGAGCTCCTGCACGGCGAAGATGCCATAGAGCCCGATTCCGAAGTAGCCCCTAGATCCCTGACCCCATCACACGTGGCCAGGAAACTCTGGTCCCCCTCCCAGACCGTAGGACTCTGCTCCTCGTCCTCGACGTCCAAGCGCTCTCCCAAGGACAAACGCCCTGAACGCCAAACCTCTCCATCCGTGATCGGGTCAAGCATCTCCTGACCACTCCACTCCTCATCCCACGGCAAACGCCTCTTCCAGAGCACCTCCACGATGCCCTTCTTGATGCGGCTCATCGCCTGCCAGCAGCAGTCTGGCCTTGTCCAGGCCAATCTCATTGACCTTCTGGGCCAGCGCCGCCACTCCTCCAATCAACACCAGTTGGCCCACAGCCTTCATCTGTCTGACTTGTGGAGAAAGACCACCACTCGCCGTCAGCAGGCCACCGGCAACAACCGCCAAGAGGCATTTGACCATGGCCTCCTTCTGCTCCTCCACGTCCTCATGCTCCACGGCCTTGGGGACAGACTTCAAGCCCACTCCCTCGCAGAACCGTTCCAAAGCCGCCACCGGCAAGCACTTCGTGAGCGCATCTGCCCGCAATCTCGTACCCACCCGGTGTGTGAGGCTGAACTCGCCCTCCCTAATGGCCTCCGCCAAGCAGTTTGCTCTGATGCGCAAATGACGGGTGCGCCAACCTCCTCCCTGGCCTCCGGCCAAGATCAGCGCCGCGCGGTTGTCATTGTAGATCTCCATGCTGATCGGGACCTCGAAGAGCTCCAGCAGCGCCCTCACTGAGCGACCCGCTTGCGCCCCCTCCATAATCGCCGTCAGCTCCGCCTCCGCCGTAGATAGAGCAACCAGAGACTGCTTCTTCGACTCCCGCTGCACTGGGCAGCCCGCAAAGAGCAGTATGATGCCCGTGACGCTGTGCTGCTCCTCCACCCCAAACGAAGCATCCACCAGCACCTCCAAAGTGCCAGCCTCCCGGGGTGTCCGCCGGAACATAGTCGGATCTGCATCCACTGGCACCTCCTTGGTGTAGACCAGCTTCTTCTCCCACGACGTGCTCAGGTAGGCGAGAACGTTGGCTCCGAGCTCCAGTACCCACTCCGGGTTCCTCGTCGCCCTCGACGACATCCTCTGAACCGCCGCTGCAAGATCCGGTCTGGTCTTCCCTGAGAGGCACAACAGCTCTCCAGTGAGCCGTTGGGCCTCCCGCACCGTCCGCAAAGCTGGGGCAGGGTCCTCCTTTTCCTCCGGGACCTTGATGTGCGTAGCTCGCGCCACCACCCCATTCCTCTGCAACAACTCCTGCGCGTAGCAGTGCTGGTGGACCTCAATGTCCCCCTTCTCTGACTTCTGGATCTCCATGCCCAGGAACTTCATAGCGGGGCCTCCGGCCTCCACATACTCCGGCGGGCTAGCCGGCCAGGTCGCATCCAAGACCTGAGCAAGCTTCTCCGCGGTGCTCCTCTCCGCCACCACCAGCAGATCATCCACATAGACCGCAAGGTAGCCCAGAGGGGGTCCCGCAAAGAGTACACCGCCCTTCCCGTCTGCTTTCCACTCCTTCACGACCCAGAGGTTCGGGTCTGCCAAAGGAACCAGGCCGAGCTTCCTCTCCTCCCCCGAGATCACCTGCGTCCAGCGAAGATGCCTCAGCTGGTTGTCCCTGTGGGATGCCCAATCCCTTGGCGCCGTTGTGAGGCCGTACATCGCCCCCGTGACCACCCAAACCTCGTCGTGGTCGATCAGGCCCGCATCGTAAAGGATGCGAGGTGGCTGAACGATGATCAACTCGTCCTGCGAAGTGGGTGCCAACAGGAAGGCCGAGCGAATATCCAGGGAAAGAATGTCCCAGGACTCCAGGGCCGCTTTCCTCAGGATGGCCCTCACTTGCGTAGAGTCCGCCCCTGAGGCGTAGAGCTCGTCGGCGCTCCGGTCAGCCATGTAGTTGCCGCAGCACACGATGCGCGACTTCCGCTTCCCTGCTCCCGCCTTCCGGCTAAAGACTCCCATGGCAGGGATCATCTCCACCACCTTTCCAGCTGCTTTTGCCTCAACCATCATGGCGTCGGCCTCAGCCTTGGTGACCCTCTGAATGGCCTGGTTGGAGGTGAAGTTCTCCAGCTCCCCCTTCATCGACGGAAGCCAGTCACTAAGATTCCTCTTCACCTCCTGCAGGGAGATCATCCTGGTCTGCAAGAACACCTCCTCAGCGGCCTGCATGACCTGCACCTCCTGCTCCTTGACCGCCTTCAGATAGGCGTC